CTGGTACTGTTGCTGCTGGTACTGTTGCTGCTGGTACTGTTGCTGCTGGTACTGTTGCTGCTGGTACTGTTGCTGCTGGTGCTGCTGGTACTGTTGCTGCTGGTACTGTTGCTGCTGGTGCTGCTGGTACTGTTGCTGCTGGTACTGTTGCTGCTGGTACTGTTGCTGCTGGTACTGTTGCTGCTGGTACTGTTGCCGCTGGTACTGTTGCTGCTGGTACTGTTGCTGCTGGTACTGTTGCTGCTGGTACTGTTGCTGCTGGTACTGTTGCTGCTGGTACTGTTGCTGCTGGTGCTGCTGGTACTGTTGCTGCTGGTACTGTTGCTGCTGGTACTGTTGCTGCTGGTACTGTTGCTGCTGGTACTGTTGCTGCTGGTACTGTTGCTGCTGGTACTGTTGCTGCTGGTGCTGCTGGTACTGTTGCTGCTGGTACTGTTGCTGCTGGTGCTGCTGGTACTGTTGCTGCTGGTACTGTTGCTGCTGGTACTGTTGCTGCTGGTACTGTTGCTGCTGGTACTGTTGCTGCTGGTACTGTTGCTGCTGGTACTGTTGCTGCTGGTACTGTTGCTGCTGGTACTGTTGCTGCTGGTACTGTTGCTGCTGGTGCTGCTGGTACTGTTGCTGCTGGTGCTGCTGGTACTGTTGCTGCTGGTACTGTTGCTGCTGGTACTGTTGCTGCTGGTACTGTTGCTGCTGGTACTGTTGCTGCTGGTACTGTTGCTGCTGGTACTGTTGCTGCTGGTACTGTTGCTGCTGGTGCTGCTGGTACTGTTGCTGCTGGTACTGTTGCTGCTGGTGCTGCTGGTACTGTTGCTGCTGGTACTGTTGCTGCTGGTACTGTTGCTGCTGGTACTGTTGCTGCTGGTACTGTTGCTGCTGGTACTGTTGCTGCTGGTACTGTTGCTGCTGGTACTGTTGCTGCTGGTACTGTTGCTGCTGGTACTGTTGCTGCTGGTACTGTTGCTGCTGGTACTGTTGCTGCTGGTACTGTTGCTGCTGGTACTGTTGCTGCTGGTACTGTTGCTGCTGGTACTGTTGCTGCTGGTACTGTTGCTGCTGGTACTGTTGCTGCTGGTGCTGGTACTGGTGCTGCTGGTACTGTTGCTGCTGGTACTGTTGCTGCTGGTGCGCTGGTACTGTTTGCTGTGGTTACTGTTGCTGCTGGTACTGTTGCTGCTGGTACTGTTGCTGCTGGTACTGTTGCTGCGTACTGTTGCTGCTGGTACTGTGCTGCTGGTACTTTTGCTGCTGGTACTGCTTGCTGGTACTGTTGCTGCTGGTACTGTTGCTGCTGGTACTGTGCTGCTGGTACTGTTGCTGCTGGTACTGTTGCTGCTGGTGCTGCTGGTTTACTGTTGCTGCTGGTACTGTTGCTGCTGGTTACTGTTGCTGCTGGTGCTGCTGGGTACTGTTGCTGCTGGTACTGTGCTGCTGGTACTGTTGCTGCTGGTACTGTTGCTGCTGGTACTGTTGCTGCTGGTACTGTTGCTGCTGGTACTGTGCTGCTGGTACTGTTGCTGCTGGTGCTGTGGTACTGTTGCTGCTGGTTACTGTTGCTGCTTGCTGCTGGTACTGTTGCTGCTGGTACTGTTGCTGCTGGTACTGTTGCTGCTATTGTTGCTGCTGGTACTGTTGCGCTGGTACTGTTGCTGCTGGTACTGTTGCTGGCTTTGGTACTGTTTGCTGCTGGTACTGTTGCTGCTGGTAGTTGCTGCTGGTACTGTTGCTGCTGGTGCTGCTGGTACTGTTGGCTGCTGGTACGTTGCTGCTGGTACTGTTGCTGCTGGTACTGTTGCTGCTGGTACTGTTGCTGCTGGTACTGTTGCTGCTGGTACTGTTGCTGCTGGTGCTGCTGGTACTGTTGCTGCTGGTACTGTTGCTGCTGGTGCTGCTGGTACTGTTGCTGCTGGTACTGTTGCTGCTGGTACTGTTGCTGCTGGTACTGTTGCTGCTGGTACTGTTGCTGCTGGTACTGTTGCTGCTGGTACTGTTGCTGCTGGTACTGTTGCTGCTGGTACTGTTGCTGCTGGTACTGTTGCTGCTGGTACTGTTGCTGCTGGTGCTGCTGGTACTGTTGCTGCTGGTACTGTTGCTGCTGGTGCTGCTGGTACTGTTGCTGCTGGTACTGTTGCTGCTGGTACTGTTGCTGCTGGTACTGTTGCTGCTGGTACTGTTGCTGCTGGTACTGTTGCTGCTGGTACTGTTGCTGCTGGTGCTGCTGGTACTGTTGCTGCTGGTACTGTTGCTGCTGGTGCTGCTGGTACTGTTGCTGCTGGTTCTGTTGCTGCTGGTACTGTTGCTGCTGGTACTGTTGCTGCTGGTACTGTTGCTGCTGGTACTGTTGCTGCTGGTACTGTTGCTGCTGGTACTGTTGCTGCTGGTACTGTTGCTGCTGGTACTGTTGCTGCTGGTACTGTTGCTGCTGGTACTGTTGCTGCTGGTGCTGCTGGTACTGTTGCTGCTGGTGCTGCTGGTACTGTTGCTGCTGGTACTGTTGCTGCTGGTACTGTTGCTGCTGGTACTGTTGCTGCTGGTACTGTTGCTGCTGGTACTGTTGCTGCTGGTACTGTTGCTGCTGGTGCTGCTGGTACTGTTGCTGCTGGTACTGTTGCTGCTGGTGCTGCTGGTACTGTTGCTGCTGGTACTGTTGCTGCTGGTACTGTTGCTGCTGGTACTGTTGCTGCTGGTACTGTTGCTGCTGGTACTGTTGCTGCTGGTACTGTTGCTGCTGGTACTGTTGCTGCTGGTACTGTTGCTGCTGGTACTGTTGCTGCTGGTACTGTTGCTGCTGGTACTGTTGCTGCTGGTACTGTTGCTGCTGGTACTGTTGCTGCTGGTACTGTTGCTGCTGGTACTGTTGCTGCTGGTACTGTTGCTGCTGGTACTGTTGCTGCTGGTACTGTTGCTGCTGGTGCTGCTGGTACTGTTGCTGCTGGTACTGTTGCTGCTGGTGCTGCTGGTACTGTTGCTGCTGGTACTGTTGCTGCTGGTGCTGCTGGTACTGTTGCTGCTGGTACTGTTGCTGCTGGTGCTGCTGGTACTGTTGCTGCTGGTACTGTTGCTGCTGGTACTGTTGCTGCTGGTACTGTTGCTGCTGGTACTGTTGCTGCTGGTACTGTTGCTGCTGGTACTGTTGCTGCTGGTACTGTTGCTGCTGGTACTGTTGCTGCTGGTACTGTTGCTGCTGGTACTGTTGCTGCTGGTACTGTTGCTGCTGGTACTGTTGCTGCTGGTACTGTTGCTGCTGGTACTGTTGCTGCTGGTACTGTTGCTGCTGGTACTGTTGCTGCTGGTACTGTTGCTGCTGGTACTGTTGCTGCTGGTACTGTTGCTGCTGGTACTGTTGCTGCTGGTACTGTTGCTGCTGGTACTGTTGCTGCTGGTACTGTTGCTGCTGGTACTGTGCTGCTGGTACTGTTGCTGCTGGTACTGTTGCTGCTGGTACTGTTGCTGCTGGTACTGTTGCTGCTGGTACTGTTGCTGCTGGTACTGTTGCTGCTGGTACTGTTGCTGCTGGTGCTGCTGGTACTGTTGCTGCTGGTACTGTTGCTGCTGGTGCTGCTGGTACTGTTGCTGCTGGTACTGTTGCTGCTGGTACTGTTGCTGCTGGTACTGTTGCTGCTGGTACTGTTGCTGCTGGTACTGTTGCTGCTGGTACTGTTGCTGCTGTACTGTTGCTGCTGGTGCTGCTGGTACTGTTGCTGCTGGTACTGTTGCTGCTGGTGCTGCTGGTACTGTTGCTGCTGGTACTGTTGCTGCTGGTACTGTTGCTGCTGGTACTGTTGCTGCTGGTACTGTTGCTGCTGGTACTGTTGCTGCTGGTACTGTTGCTGCTGGTACTGTTGCTGCTGGTACTGTTGCTGCTGGTACTGTTGCTGCTGGTACTGTTGCTGCTGGTACTGTTGCTGCTGGTACTGTTGCTGCTGGTGTTTCTGGTGCCTCTGTTGGGGACACCACCACAAGCAGCAGCGGCTGCCATGTTATAATTCCTCCACGCATCGCCCTCTCTCACTCTGGGTCCATTTCTGAGACCAGCTCGGTCCGGCAAGGCAACAGGGTAGGCAGAGAGGGGGCACACAGGCATGGGGGGCACAGTGGCGTAAGAGGGGGAGACGGGTTGGAGGCAGCTGATTGGCTGTCAGAGCTCTCTGACAACACGAACATGGATGAGGTTGATCAAATACTGGCTCAGATGGGGCTCAAAGCAGGGGAGGCGAGCGCGGGGGAAGGAAAGGTTGCAGGAGGGCCGGAGGCAGATGGCATGAGAGGGGTTTATGCAGTTGGGGTGAGGAGGAGTGCAGGGGAGCATGATAAGGAGAGATTGCGGTATGAGCGGAGGCAGCTGAGGAGACTGATTAGGAAAGGGGCAGGGAGTCCAATGCTGTTTGGGGACACTATGAGGTTTGGGAGAGGGAACGGGAGTGGAGGGCAGTTGACGCTGAAATCAATGGACTCTCTCAAGATCCAGTCATCATCACAGCATGCAAGAGATGCTATGATTCTGTATCAATAATAATGCATTGTTGAAGGGAGCTACCTAATAATGCAATCATAGTACCAGTACGACACATTGAATGTCTGTTAAAATAAGGATGCCGAAAATCACCCAACTGAATTCGAGTCAACTTCCCATATGCTTTGCCCGCTTTCCTGAGTCCAACTGAGCATAGCTGATCTTGGATCCATTGTCCATGGAAACCTGGACCACAGAATCAGCAAACGTCTGAAAGGCCCGATTGTGGCTCACACAAAGGACCTGCCCTTTCTTTGCAAGCTCGCTCTGCACAAGAGCGCCAACCCTGCTCTGATTCTCCTCATCAAGGGCAGCATCCACCTCGTCCATCAGGTACACAAAGTTTTGGCTGCACTGGGCAATTGCCAAAATCAGTGCAACACTTAAAAGAGTCCGTTGCCCACCTGCAACAGACACACGCCAGTCACAACTCAGCAGGATAACAAGATATCAAGCATTGGGTCACTTGGAAGATGCGTCTGCATACCAGAGAGCTGACTGAGGTTTGTGTTCCAAGATGGTGCAGAATCCTGTGATGCAGGACTGTTACAGAAGGCAATCTTAATGCCATCTTCAACAGTTTCTCCAAGTTGCATGAGATTGACAGACTTGTTTGGAAGGAGATGGCGGCATAGGTTCTGAAATGAAGACCTCACACGAGTGTATGTGTCTCTGTTGACCATCAGTACCTGAATTCGCAGAACTTTCAATTAGCAAAAAAAGTGAGAAACTTCAGAAGAAATATGGACAACGAGAATCAAGAACATCTCAGAGAAGGGGCAGGAGACGGTTTCTAAAAGGCAACAGAATGATTTCAGGTGTCAGAATGGATACCTTTGACTTTGCGCGCGATATTCCATCGTTCAAAACTTTCATGGAGATCACAATGGATGCTGCTCGGTCCTTGAACATATTCAAGGTGGACATGCGCTCACCAAAGGCCTTTCTTTCTCGACCTGACAGCTTTGCATGCTTGAGCCTGACAAGAAAGAGCACCGATTGAGTGACATAATTAAGAGACTTGAGAGCTTGGTGTGCTTGAGGTAAGTATTACAGTACTTTGAAAGGCGATGAAGAAGAGCTTTCCACTCAGATTCAGGCTCCAGAGTTTCACTGCTATCCAGCTCCATGTCATCTGAAACGGATATATCCACCTCCTCTGCATTGGCCAGCAGCTCTGAGTCCTGCAAATGTAGCCAGAATTAGCATAAGTTATACAAATTTGAGGGTAACAAGGTGGGTAACCAGAAACTCACCAGGACTTTCACCACGTCTGATATCCTCTCTCGTGCCTCTGCAATCCCTCCTTGCGCGTTCTTCATATCTGAATTGAGGCTTAGTAGTTGATCACGGAGCTTGTTGTGTTGTGCCTCCAGGTTCTCAATGTCAGTCATGCACATTGCCACCTTCGTCTTGTGCACTTCCCTTTCACGTATGGAGTTTTGCATATCTCCCTCGATTTCCTCAATCTGGCGCTTGAAGACTTTCTGCTGCTGAAGAAGCGTTTTCATGTTTTCCTCCAAATCTTGCACAGTGGTGCCATCCATTGCCTCCTCTATCAACATCTTCTCATCTCTGAGCTTTGCAACTTGCATCGTCAGCATTTTCAGTCTTGACTCAATGTCCTGAACAGCTGAAAGAGCTTCCTTCCGCCAAGTGGGAAAATCAACAGTCGAATGAATTGGGCCAGCGGTCAGAAGCTTTTGGAGGTACGCTACCAGTGATTCTTTTGCTTTCACCTTCCCTTCCACTGCCACAAGGGCATCTTGAGAATCAGTGATCACCAGCTTAGCTTGTGTATACGAATCAGTAAGGAGCTTCACCTGAGAAATGAGCTGCAATGTAAGACCTTAGAACATATTTTTTCGAACGACTTCAAAGGAAGACATACCTTCCTCGCCAACACCCTTGTCTCTCCTGAAATGTCATCAAGCCTCAAAAGTTCTTGTCGCACCTTCTCAATCTCCAGAGCAAGGTCCTTCAACTCCTGCAAATGGGGTAACATCATGAGATAGTCCACTTCGCTATGCGTCAATAAAACTGGGTGACAGTGAGATGAGAGATGATTATCACCTGTCTCGACTGAGCAATGCACAACGCTGCTCTCTGAATCTCGTTCTGAACTCTGTCATGATCAAACTTGGTCACCACCATCACCCGAGGAGTCCTGCTACCTCTCCATCCGCCAGAAAGAAAGCCTCTCTTATGAATGTTTCCATCAATTGTCACGCTCCTGACGCCATGATTTAAGGCTAGGTCAGCTGCAACGGTGTCGTCCCTTGCAATTACAAAGCTGCTGAACAGCTTTGCAAGTGCTGGACGAAAACGAGGATCAAACTCAAGCAAATCAAGAGGAAGAACCACGGATCCTTCCTGGAAATTTTCTTTGACAGACAGATGATCTTGCCCTCTGTCATCCACAACAAGGGATTTCAGAGGCCAGATTCGACTGAACATGCTTGGGTGCCCGAGATCTTCCCACAGGTCCAATAGAGACTTGGCATCATGCATACTCTCCACGATGCAGGTGGAGCTGATCTGACCTGCAGGGTTATGGAAGGTGTTACAAAAAATGGAAAACACAAGAATCTGCAAGAAACTGGCTTCAGCAAGTCATACGTGCACCCACCTGCAATAACATCCAAGGCAGTGAGAAATTTGGAACAGCCAACTGCTGGATCTGTCTTGAAACAGAAAACGGAATGCAATGGCCAAGCAGGAAATCCCAAATCAGCGGGTTCCAGCCTTCCAAGCTGCGCTTTCAGGACCTCGAGCTGAGTCCGTTGGGCAGTTTCCTTTCTCTTCATGAAAAATTGCTCCTGACTCTTTCGCTGTGACTCTGCTTGCAGATGTTGCAACTGAGTTAACAACTCTTCCCTTGGCTTGTACCCCGACTTCTCCTCCTCAAGGGCCGTGATAGGTTTTCTAGCAAGGTCAAGCTCTCTTTCAACTTCAGCAAGTGATTCTCCACACTGAGAAAAAGAAGCCTGCTTTTGCTCGAGGACCTGCTTCAGTTCAGCCAGCTGTACTTCCTCCTCCCTCAGCATATCTGACGGATGCTTCCCAGCGGATATTAACTCCAGCTCTTCAAAGCGCGCAATCGTATCCTGATGCGCCTTGAGCTGATGACTGAGGAGCTTTTTCTCATGAAGGGTCTCTTTCAAACCGGAATCGACCTTTGCCAGAGCCAGATGGAAATCTTGTGCAGCTGCCTGCTGTACCTGAAGCACACGGATTTCTTCCTCATTTTCTGCAAGTTTACAGAGTGCTTCAGCATGCTGTTTCTCATGAATGTCTCCGCGCACATCCTCTAACGCCTTCAGCTCTCGCATGCTGGCTTGCTTTTGATCACGTTCCCGGACAACACTCCGAATGCCATCATGTACTGTCTTCAATTGCTCTTGAACTGCCTTGGCCTCGCTTTCTAAAGTAATGCTTCTCTCTGTCTCGTGGCTCTGTATAGCCCTCCCAACTTCGCCAAGCCTCTTGCACATCTGAGGGGTTGATACTCAAGAATGAAGACACTGGGGATGCAAAGTAGAAGCTTAAGAATCTAGGGCTTACCTTCCATCTTTCATGAGCTTCTTTGATCTTGGCTGTATCGGCAGCTGTCACTGTCTCGAGCAGGCAAGTATTTGTGTTGATTTCCTGCAAACTCCTCTCCGTCTTCATCACAACCTCTTCAGCCTTTTCCACCTCGGATTCCCACCTTGCTGGATCATTGCAAGGACAAGATGCGGAGTCGTAGAAAACAATGTAACGTCCAGGTGATAGTTCGCCATTGCTACTTCTGAATCAGAACGACGCATGAGGTGAAATTGAAAATAAATAAATCAATTCATATGTACCTGCTCCAGACACTCCTGAAATGAGGCTAGACAGCACTGCACCATCGTTTGCATTCGCCAACTCAGAAACCTGGGCCTGCTTAAGGCTTGTGCACGCATCCAGCATAATACGATTCTCTCGAAGATAGTCCTGTTTGGGTAGGATGTGAGAGTTTGAAATATCATCAAGTGCTACATCTAGCAGTCCAGACTGTACTGTACCTTGAGTTCACGCAGTGTTTTGAGCTTCCCATTAACTTTGGTCTGTCGAGTTTGATCTGGCAGAAGCTTTGCGTCGATACAGATTCTGTCGACAGCACTTCCTCCTTTGGATGTACGTACTACTACGGAAACCTCACATCCTTCCTTAGTGTCGGAAGATTGGAGACCGGCCAACGATTGCACACGCAACGCATGATAAGACTCGCCTAAGGCAAAGTGGATTGCATCTGCACAGCATTGAATTGTGTTGAATAGAAACGGGACAGGTTAATGTTATGCAAGTTCACTGGTTTCACGCTCACCCAAAATGTTTGACTTTCCACTTCCGTTTGCACCAGCTATAAGGTTGAAGCCAGGAGTGAACCTTACTTCTTGCGGCTCATCGCGAAAGGACTTGAATGCTCGGATTCTGTTCAGTTTAGCAAACTTTTGGTCAGCCACAATGAGGTCGATCGATAAGCTGGTGAGTCAAATCGTGCGTACCTGACTGATTCTATAAATGGACGCGAGTGCCTGAATGCAGCCATTGACAATCGGCAGACGTACTACAGGTGCTTCAATGCAACACTGGATCCTCGCAAAAATATATGGGTCGATTTCCTTTGCCGTCAAAGCAGGCAGTTCGTACCTTGTGCTAGGTTCTGCCTCGCGGCTGGTGAAGTGAAGCTCTGCATGAGAGTCATTCGGGCATGGAATGATGGAATCTCAAGGGTCCATGGCGAGACTGATTGGCCACCGCACTGCATCACGCTTTACTGCTCTGCAACCAGCGGAGAAGCGTGCAATCTCGTTGGAAGAGCGACCCCGAGCACGATCGAACCTGTCAAATGAGTCTTGACCAAGTTTAGGACGCGTCCCCTCTAGTGAGTCAAACGAGTAAAGAAATTGAGCAAAGGAATGAGAGAACATTTATAGCTAAAACATTGAACGGTAAAACGATGTGTGCAAGCTAGCTATTGCGAAGCTGGCAGCGAGGTTCGGGCTAGTCCTGAAGCGTAGACCGTCTCGGCCAAGTCCAGAAATCCGATGTTTTGGCAAAAGTAACACCGTCAAGCGGTAACGGACGAAGAAAAAAAAGTTGTTGTACACGTTGCTGGGGTGTGCAGTAAGAGCGTGTTCCTACACCTCGTATCAGACACACCTCGTATCAGCTTCGCGTGGTGAAATACGTTTGAGTGTGTTCAAGTGCGGTTGGATGCGTTTTAGTGCGTTTCGACGCGAAGTTGATACGAGTTTGCCTGATATAAGGCGGTAGGAACACGCTCTAAGGAATGTCGAAAAAATGCTCACTACCCCCGTCTGCTTTTTTTGCTGCATTTCTTATCGGTAAACCGAAAATGGACCATGATCGCAGCAGCCTTGCAATTACACCTTATTGTACCCAGTATGGATGATCACTGACGTGAAGTAGTACCAGCCCTGATCAATTTGCAATTCTTCGGCCTGCCCCGAAACGAATCTGAGAGCCATCATTGCCATTAGCATCATTGCACATTGTCTTCCAGAGCCCACGCAGGACCATAGATGGCCACATTGGCTCGCCCATACTTTCGATCCTTTATCTGCACAGCATGGAACGGAAAAAAATGTATTATTCAGTACACGAGGGAAGAATGTCTGTCTGGTATGGCATCATAAATAGGCATGGATGGGAAGGGAAGGATTTAGAAACGAGATGCGTTATGCAGCAGGAACGAAACAATCACCTTATATAGAGGACCGCATGTGTCCAATATCTCATCCCTATATTTGATTGGATTCTCCACCACCTGGCAGGATGCAGGAGATAGAATGGGCGGTGTGTGGCGGACAGGGTAAGAAGGATAACATAGACATGACATGGCATGCTGACATGGCAGCACGCATGCATGCGCCGTCACAGCACCACCATTCCCTCCCCTCCTATGCCCTGCATCACAATCGCTGTGATGGTGATGGCACATGCATGATTTGATTCCATAAAGTCTCCCCCGCACACACCATGCATGTGTGTTTTTTGAGACGTCTCAAAACACGCTTACTCTCCCGCGGATTTTATATGGAGAAATTGTTTGTTGCTTGGAAAACAGGTTGTAACTTGCAAAAGTTACTTGTTAGTGCGAGGCTTCCGAAACACCAGCTGGCGAGTTGTGATTCAACAACGTTACGCCTCGAGGAGTGAAGACCTCAGCCCCTCGGTTTTTTCCAGGGTGTTGTGGATTGGCTGCCCAGATTTCAGCCACGGTTGTACCCAACCTCGATTGTTTCTTGATGGGTAGTTCTTGCTTAAGGGTTGCTCTTTCTGCTCTAGTTTCTTATTCCGCTAGCACTGATGAAGGATTGACGGGGGTCTGTCCCAGTCGTCCGAAACATGTTTGCGTTTTAATCGTTGTAGTGGACTTAGAGCGCAGTTTCGATCTTGTTTTTTGAACTGGCAACACAAGAGTTTTTAACTCTACTGTTTTTCTTCTGCTAAAGAATTCTCCTAAGCTGCAGCTCGCCTAGTCTCATGGCTGAAGGTACTTGGGGTCTCCCAAATTCTACGGGTGACGCCGGCTTAGGAAATTCGAGTTTCGCACTAGTTCCCCGTGAAGCAGGCCCATTCCCGAAAACTTACGCGGGTTACAAACGTTCTCGCAACGCTGACGGAATCGCTGGCGCATCTGCACCAATTCACGAGGACAACGAGCATAACAAGCAGACAGGAAATTCTCCCGACGCTGCCGACATGGATTCTCTGAACGACGAGGATGTCAACATGGCTCCCGTCAACCCGTCAGCTGCCACTAACACGTCCGTCAAGATTCCGGAGCTTTTAAAAGGCTGGACGACGGCTGCTGTCAAGGGCTTCAGAGAGGATTTTAAGGCGCTCCTCAAGGCGAAGTCCAAACTGAAGAAGATGAAGACGCTAAACGGCCAAGGTGTGATCTTACACAGCATCCGCACCAAGGTCGTGGAGTTCCAGACGAAGTACCCGGTTACTCGGGAGAAATCTGCCGCGTCCGTCGCCTCGGTTCATCTCGAGAACCAGAAGCGCATTCAGGAGGATTTCATCAAGTCTAAGGAGTTGGAGGTTGAGGAAATCCTGGCGGCGTCCTCCTCACATCTCACCACTCTGGCTACTAAGCTCGAAGACTACATCAAAATCTTGACTGCGGATCCGGATCTAACCGTATCTGATGCGGCTAGAGAAAAATTCCGGAAAATCAAAGGGATCTGCATCGAGAAAGCCAAGTCGGAGATTGCTGCAGCCAAAGATGATATCATCATCAAGGAGCTGGAGAGACAGAGGATCAGGGACGCTGAAGATTTGAAGAAAGCAGCCGCTGCCGAAGAGATGGAGCACCTGGAAACGGATCCGACGATCAACGAGCTTGTTCGAAAAGCTACTCAGAAGTACGCGGAGACGATGCGCAAGGAGATTACGGCGAGCGTCGAAGCGAAGCTTACTGCCAAGTTTAAGAAGAGCTTGTCGATGGGATCGCAGGATTCCAAGTCGGCCCCCGCAGCAGCGAAGCCCAAGGCGGACCCGTCAAAGAGCCAGACGAACACTGGCTCCAAGGCAGATGTACCGAAGGCTACGCGGCGTCGCGGGAAACAAAAGAAGAAAGCGAAGTCTTCAGGCGGCGACGGAGGGAAGGGCCAACAAACTTCCTCAACTACGGCCCAGGTTCCAAAAAACGGCGGCGGCGGCCCAGGAAAAGGGCCGCGCAAGAACTAACACCTCGAGACCTCGCGCTCCGCTGGTTCGGGAAGCTGACTCTACGACAGGCGCAGTCACGCATTCTGAACCGGGGAGTACACAACCTGAGCGCTAAGGTTTTGTCTCGCGACGAGACCAAAGCGCTCGGGATGGGACTGAAGTTCATACCAACGCCAGCCTGGAACTTTTCCATCGAAGCAGATTTGCATCAGCTGCATCGACAGATCTCCCTCGACTTTTTCTTCAAGGGGAAAGGACCATCAGCTTCATCACGTTTCCGGGTGAAGAATCCTAATTGGTGGCCCGATCGGGACGAGGTCCCGGAGCAAGTCTTCAAGGAGGCGCGAGCCGACCTTTCTTTCCTGCTGAAGACGTGTAAGCCGCTGCGTGGACAGAACCTTTCACGGAGTGTACGTGCGGCTATACGTTCCCTATCGCTCGACAGCAGCATCGTCATCAAGCCAGCTGACAAGAATATAGGAGTTACCGTGATGGATCGAGCACACTACGTCGCGATGTGCATGGAACACCTGAACGACGCGGATGTCTACAGACCGGTTCGTCACGACCCGACTCCTCGAGTTCTGCAGCAGCTGAGTGAGCTGAAGGCGACATGGGGGCCTGCTTTCCCAGACAGTATTTGGAAATTTCTGTTTGACAAACCGCCAGGAGGGTGGCACCCAGCGGCGTTCTACATCCTGCCTAAACTCCATAAGAAGTTACCCGTGGGACGTCCGATTGCAGCTTCTCATTCATGGGTGACGACTAATGCGAGTCGATGGCTGGATGCGCAACTCAGACCGCTAGTTTTAAAACGAGCTACCTACCTGCGCGACTCTCTCGCACTGCTAGCGAAGCTGGAGACAACGGCCTTCCCGCCTCATATCCTCCTAGCTACCTACGATGTTACCTCGCTCTACCCCAGCATATCCATCGACCGAGGACTCGAAGCAGTTAGCAGTTTCTTGACGAGAGAAAACCCGCAGCTCGCTCAACCGCTCATGGCCCTTCTGGGTTGGGTTATGAGAAATTCCTTTGTGGAATTTGACGACCGGATGTACCACCAAGTGCAGGGGACCGCGATGGGAACTCCTGTCGCCGTTTGCTTCGCCATCCTGTTCATGAGTCGTCTCGATGAGCTGCTGAAGGAGAGATGGACCGGGGTGTCACCTTGTTACCACGTCCGATATATTGACGATGGCCTTATCATTTGGCCAGGCGCGCAGTCTGATTTGGAGGAGTACCTGCGCACCTTCAACGGCTTGGATCCGAACATTCGGATCACGTGGAACATCTCGGAACGTTCCGTGGATTTTCTGGATGTGGTTCTTCACAAAGGGCCTCGTTTCCACGAACGTGGTTTCCTAGACCTCGGTACTTACCAGAAACCGATGAATAGGTACCTATATCTCCCCTTCTCCTCCTTCCACCCGCGGCACTGTAAAGAGGGGTTCATCCGCGCCGAACTGCAGCGCTACTTGCTACGCTCGACCTCGGCGACGGCCTTCCGAACGACGAAAGTCGCTTTCTTCCAGCGACTTCGTGCCCGCGGTTACCCGCCAGTCTTCCTACGACCGATCTTCAACGGCGTCCATTTCGCACAACGTGCGACTCTTCTCACCAGCACCCTCGCTAACCAGTTACAACGACGAACATCTCCTCCTACACGCGGGCCCCTAGTCTTGAAGACGACCTACACACCTGTGTCGGCTCGACTCGGGCTAGGGGTAGTTTTGAGACGTCTCAAAACATGCATGTGTGTTGGTACAGCAGCGGGGAGGCAGCGAGCTGGCCCATGAGTTGACTGTACGTCAGTCCATAATCCCCCCCCACCCACAAACCCTCCCTCCCTCTCCCCCCACACACGCACTATGCATGCACGCACCAGGCGTGCACCCATGCACGCACACACGCACCATGCATGTGTGTTGGATGGTGTAGCAGCAGTGGAGAGGCAGCGAGCTAGGCCATGAATTGACTGTACATGTATGCATCCATGGTATTTCCCCCCAATCCCCACCCCACCCACACACACACCCACACACCATGCATGCACGCACGCACGCACCATGCATGTTTCTGGGTGCAACAGTAGGGAGGCAGCGAGCTGGGCCATGAGTTGACTGTGCATGCATGCATGCACCCCTGAATACCTCCCCCCATCCACACTCCCCCCTCCTCCCACCCCACACCCACCTACCCACCCACATGCCATGCACGCACCATGCATGTCTCTGGGTGCAGCAACGGGGAGGCAGCGAGCTAGACCATGAGTTGACTGTGCATGCACGCATCCATGATCCCTCCCCCCATCCACACTCCCCCCTCCTCCCACCCCACACCCACCCACCCACCCACCCACACGCCATGCCCGCACCATGCATGTCTCTGGGTGCAGCAGCGGCGAGGCAGCGAGCTGGGCCATGAGGTGACTGTGCATGCATGGTTCCATGATCCCTCCCACTCACACCTCCACCCCACCCACACACACACACCCACACACCATGCGTGCACCATGTATGCATGCACGCACGCCATGCACGCACCATGCATGTTTCTGGGTGCAGCAGCGAGGAAGCAGCGAGCTGGGCCATGAGTTGACTGTACATCCATGCATCCATGAATACCCCCCCCCCCCCCCCCCCCCCCTCCCACCCCGCACCCACCCACCCACCTACACGCCATGCACGCACCATGCATGTTTCTGGGTGCAGCAACGGCGAGGCAGCGAGTTGGGCCATGAGTTGACTGTACACCACAAGCTCATAGGGGGGAGTCACGCTGACGAAGCTGAAGGGGCCTCCCACCCACTCAGCTGGGGGGGGAAAGATAGGGAAGCAGGGAGGGAGTGGTAAAGGACAGGACGGGGATGCAGCAAGCTGAGCCATGAGTTGACTGTACACCACAAGCTCATAAGGAGGAGTCACGCTGACGAAGCTGAAGGGGCCTCCCATCCACTCAGCTGCGAGGGTGAAAAGAAGAGTGCAAAGCAGGAGGGCAGTGGGCTGGGGGGCATGCAGAGTCAAAGCAGGAGCGCTGTTGAAATGAAGGTCATAGGAGGGTGTCACGCTGATGAAGGTGAAGGGACCTCCCCCACCCAATCGGCTGTGAGTGAGAGCGAGGAGAGCAGGAAAGGGCAAGAAGGGAGAAAAGAAAGGAGGTGGGAGAGCCGAAGGGGTTCCCCACCCACTCAGCTGCAAAGGCAGAAAGAACAGGAAGGTAGTGGAAGGAAGGGAGGGGATGGAAAGAAAGGGTGGACGTTGAGAGGAGTTGAGGCTTGCATGAGGGAAATGCAGCTGCTGCAGCGGCCTCCCACCCACTCAGCTGTGAGGGTGAAAATAACAACAGAAAGCAGGGGGGTTGTGCATGGGTTGCTGATACAAGTGGCTCCGATGAAGCGGAAGAAACAGAGATGGGAAAACGGATGGGGGGGGGGGGGGGGGGGGGGAGGGGAACGAATGGTGGGGGGAGAGAGGGGGGACGCAGGGGATAGAACAAAAAAAGGTCGAGGAGGGTATTGGCAAGGAGAGGAGCAGGAGAACGTGGGGGTTGAAGGAGAAGGATTGGATGGGCAGGAGAATGGGAGATGGAGAGGAAGAGTGAGTGGAGGAGGTGCGAGAGGGGCGCGACGGGAGAAAGAGATGGAATAGGGGAAGGAGAGAGAGAGAAGGCACCAGGCTGAGGAGGGTTCAAACGAGGAGAAAAAAACTGCCAATACCTCTTCGTACCTCCCCGTACCTTCCCGTACCTCACCGTACCTCCACCTGCCTTCCCGTACCTCCTCGTTGCTCTGCTTGCTGGAGAAAGGACTCGACTTTGAGTGGGTGGATGGTGGCTTTTGAGTCGACTCAAACGTGCCCTCGGAGGAAATGTGGCATCACATGAGCTTACCTCCTCGTAGGGAAGGCGGGGCATACCTCCTCGTTTCTCTGCTTGGTGGAGGAAGGACTCGACTTTGAGTGGGTGGATGGTGGTGTGGGAGGAGGCGGAGCAGGCTTGGAGAAGGATTGGATGGGCAGGAGGGTGGAAGATGGAGAGGAAAAACAAGTGCAGGATGAGATAAAAAGGAAGGGGGAAGGCGGGGCGTACCTCGTCGTTCCTGAGCTTGGTACAGAAAGGACTCGACTTTGAGCGGGTGGATGGTGGTGTGGGAGGAGGCGGAGCAGGCTTCAATGTTGGGGGAGAGCACAGATGATACGACCCATGGGTCCATCTCAACAAAGTGGGCCTGGGAAAAAGAGGGGGGGACAAGCAGAAAAGAGCATATGTTGGGGTGGGAGTGGAGAAGGCTTGGATGTTGGGGCCAAGCCCATGGGTCCATCTCGACAAAGTGCGCCTGAGACAGGGAGGGAGGAGGGAGAGAGGAGAGACAAAGCGAGTGGGTGGTGTGGGAGGAGGCAGAGCAGGCTTGGATGATGGGAGCTAGCACGGAGGAGAAGACCCATGGATCCATCTCCACGAAGTGCGCCTGAGGAGGGGAGGGGATAGGGGGGGGAGAAGGGATGGAGAAGGTGATGGGGGGGCGAGAATGTGACCAGAAGCATAGAGGATACGACCCATGGCCATCTCGACGAAGTGCCCCTGTGGAAGGGAGAGAGGGAGGCAGGGGCGCCGGAGGCAGGAGGGCACGAGGGCAGGAGGGAGGGAGGGCGGGAGGACAGGAGGGCAGGAGGGCGGGAGGGCGGGAGCAGGAGGGCTGGGAGAGAAGACGAGTGGCAAAGAGAGTGGGCAGAAGCACAGAAGCACAAAAGCACAGAGGAGACAACCTGTGCATGCATCTCTACGAAGTGCAAGGAAAGGACAGAAGGACAGAGGGACGGAGGGACAGACAAGACGACCTAGAGGTCCACCTTCACAAAGTGCGCCTGAGAAGGGGAACGGAAAGGGGGGAGAAGGGAAGAGTGACAGAAAGGCACTCTAATACCTGGCCCTTAAGGCAGTGCCTTATCACCCAACTCGAGAGAGCCTTTTTGCTTCCCATGCCCCCAACCCCCCGCCCCGTGTCCTCCATGCCCCCATGCCCCTCACTTGTCCGCACCCTCTGCTCATGGCCTCTAATCCCACGCTCCCTCTGCCGCTGTACAGGTCCAGCCAGTGCTAGGCGGCTGCCTGCCTGGCAAGTACTGCTCATGTCCCCACCCCACGCTGCCCTCACCCCATGCCCCCCTGCCCCTCACCTGTCCGCATCCTCTGCTCATTGCTTCCAATCCAACGCTCCCCGTGCCACTGTACAGGTCCAGCCAGCGCGAGCTGGGCGGCTGCCTGCCTGGTACTGCCTATTGCCCCTGTGTGTGCTACATTCCCATAGTACACCCTCACCTGCGCACACCCTCTGCTCATTGCCTCTAATCCAACGCTCCCCTTCCGCTGTATAGGTCCAGCTAGCGCGATTTGCATGCCTGGCAAGTGCTTCCCATGCCCCCTGTGTGTGTGCAACATTCCCCTTCATCATGGAGGGCGCACATTACGGTCGGCAGGGGGGTGCAATGCAGAAGACGCCTCCCCCGGTTGGACCCTCAGACGATCTGTGGGGGACAGGGGGGGAGGGATGGGGAGAGGGACAGAACGGGGGTGAAGGGGAGGGGAGGAAGGAGGGGCATGGGGAGAGGCGGGTGGAGGAGAAGGAAAGGTGGGAAGGGTGCAGAAGGTGCGGGAGTGGCGGAGAGGCGGAGAGGCAGGATGGGTTGGAGATGGAGAGATGGGGAGATGGGGGGAGCGGAAAGGAAAGCGGAGGGAGAGGCGGGGGGGACATCACTAACACACATACACATACACACACAACCACACACCCCCACATTCCCACAACCCCACAAAACCCCTCTCCCTCCCTCTCACCACCCACCCACCCCACTCCCCCCCCACTCCTCTCCACACACAACCCCCCACACACCTTGAGCAGCATGTGTGTGCTGCGCGCCCCCCCATCCAGCCCTGCCGTTGTCTGTGTGACGTCTCATTCCCCACTCTCCTCCCCACCCTTCTCCACGCACACCCCCGCACACACCTTGAGCAGCTTATGCGTGCTACGCGTCTTCCTAGGCTCCATACCTGCTATTGCTGCCGCCTCACTCCCCCCCGCCCCCGCGCCCACTGCCCTTCCGCCATCCGCTCCCTTGCCCCTTTCCGCCCCCCCGCGCCTTTTTGCACCCCCCGTCTCTCCACCCATGAGTGCGGCGGGGTTGACCAGACACCCTTCCCCAGGGAGAACACCTCCTCGCTCACCGACGCCCCCCTGCCCCCTCCGCCGCTCCTCCCCGCACGCTGCCCATCCGCGGAACGCGCGGGCTTCGACTTCCGCCTGGTGGACTCTGCAGTGTGGTCGGGGGAAGCGGGGAGAGGTAGGCGGAAGCGGGGAGCGGTAGGGCGAAGCAGAACGTGAAAGGAAGCAGAAGGGTACCGTGTGAGAGCGGAGCGAGAGAAGAGACGATTGGACGACGGGAAGGGCATGCGAAAGTGCGAAGAGAATCGTAACATAACCGAACCCGAACTATAAACAGATGCATTCGATGTGAGGAACGAATGGATGTATGGGGAGGCTCGGTGGGATTGAGTCTAGTCAAAAGTGACGCGCTGAAACGTGAAACCGTCAAGTTTGGAAAGTGACGCGGTGTGAAAGATTTGAGTCACATGTCGTAGGTGGGAATGGCTGGCTGGACTAGGCGGCAAGACCGTTAGCCCAACCCGACACCACCAATAACCCAATCCAACATTACCAGAACGGAAATCTCCTTGAAGCATCGGTCGAGCAGCTGCTCAACGCGGCGGTTCGATTCAAGTCCTCTTGTATCGATCTTCTTACGATCGACTGAGAGCACTCTCGAGAAGATTGAGAAGTAACCTCCTCTCTGTTGCCTCTGCCATTGACGTAGTTGCTCCTCGTCTCTTTGAGGGGTGTGCTGTCCCTCAGCTTCCCACCTTCACTGCTACTCGTGCCACTGCTGCGGTGTCTGTCTCTGAGGAGACTGCAGCTGTTTCTGCCGCTGACTGGCAGAAACGAGGCAAGGGTGGCAAGAAAGGGGGGAAGGGGGGTGGCGGCGGTGGCGGAGATGGCGGTGGTGGAGGTGCTACTTGGAGGGGCAGTGGTGTCGGCGGCGGTTCTGGTGCTCTGGAGGAGGTTCTACACCGGCAGGCCCACCAGGTGGAGGTGTGGCGCCCGGCGGTGGTGCGGGGGCTCAGCAGTAGCAGCCACAGCAGCAGCAGCCACAGCAGGGACAGCAGCAACTACAAGGACAACAGCAGCGGCAGGTGTCGTAGCAGGGTCAGCCGTGGGGGCCCCCACTGCAGAGGGGTCCTCAGCAGCACTGGGGCCCCCCGCCACAGTGGGGACCTGGAGGCCTGGGGAGCACTGGCCGTAGCAGCAATACCACTAGCTGGGGCCCTCGCCCCCCTTGGCGCGACTCCGGCCCCTTCGACCATGGTGCCTCACCGGACCAGGCAGTCCCTGCGTTTGCGGCCGCGACGACCACTCTGCAGCGAGGTGCTTGCGCAACCTCGACGACCTCTACCGTGCACGTTCCGGTACTGAGGCGCACACCCCGCGCTGGGCTCAGCTGCTAGCTCATAAGATTGTTGTGTTTGATCTGGCTTTGGATGAGGCTCGTCAGTATGCTTTGTATGCTGATGTTGACTATAGTACTAGTGGATATGTGTGCTCGCGTGTTCCTAGACTAGGATCCTGTTGGGTGCAAATTCACATTGCACGACATCCTGCCGTCTGTTTGTACGAGTATGCGTGTGCGAATGCATTTGGGTGTGAATGGAATGTTCGTGTGTTTGTTTGCTTTCGCAATTTTCGCTTGATGCATTTGCAGGTACTCGCGCAATGTGCGCTTCGGCACAACATTGTACGCGCTATGAACAGTGCAAGCAGAAAGGACGGGCTCGCAAAGGAACCCAAGATGGAAGCTTTGCAGTTCGGTTGAATTGATTGCGCAGATTCAGTTCTATCCAACTCGAAATTGTACTGTTTTGTTTGGTTGACTATAGTGTAGCAGGGCAGGCACTATAGGGGTACAATTTAGGTGAAGGTTGGATGTTGTTTATTTGTATCTGCATGCTACAGGGCCAGGGGAAACCAGCGGAACTAGCATTTGGCTGGTTGGGCAAAGACAAAACAGGTTCTGTTTTTAGGACCTGAACATGGTTGTTGTTTTCCCAGGTTGGAAAAACAGAACCAGAGGTTGTTTACCAACCTACCACCTGCTGTTTTGTCCAGCCAGGTTGGTTCTGTTGCTTGGAATTAGTTGGGATCATCCATGGTTGTTCCCAGGTTGATTCCCAAGGTCCTTGCTAGCTAAAACTATATATTCCTTCTCTGTTTGTACCTGAATATAATCAATTTGATTCAAGCGAATTCCTTTCTTGCTGGAATTTCGTTTCTACGCGGTGCGACGGCGGAATGCTACCGAGTCAACGCTAGTACGCTAGCACTACGACGCTAGGCCAACGCTGTCGATTTCGTAACGCTGCATTGGCAGAACTTTTCGCGAGGCAACTTGGCTCTCTTGAAATCTCTTAGAGTGAGCTTCGATATAGCGAGTTCTCAGCTTAATCCGATCGACGGTCTGCACGGCACGCTGCGCGACGTTCAAGGTACTCTTGCTGTTTTGACTAAGTCCCTCTTGATCCCTCTCTCTACAAACTCGGACCCGAGGATAGGGGCTGGTCTTGTACCAAGCACCCAGGGACCCTTGGAGGTGACCCCGAGGAGATGTTTTAAGTTGGATAACGTCTTAATAGCCTGAGTTATTAGGCCCTTTACACCAAACAGTTCCTTGCCTGTTGCTAGCGTGGATTTGTGCCTCTCTAGTCTAGGTGCTTGTGTTGCTGCTCTAGGTGCTTGTGTAGCTACCAGACCAAGTGCGCCTCCGGCTGAGGCATCCGTGTCCTTCACGCTGGACTCTGGCGCGTCTCAGTGCTTCTTCCGCGACCACACGACGCTCACACCGCTCCTTGCTCCTGTTCCCATAGCTCTAACTGATCCTTCCTTAGGACCAGCCGTTGCGCGCAACTCCACCTCCCTGCCATGCCCTGTGGTCCCCTCTGATGTCCTGCGCGGTCTCCACATCCTCTCGTTCACTCGGAACTTGGTGGGTGTTAGATACCTCCAAGACAGAGGGATCACCGTTACCTTTGTGGGGGGTGGGAGGATTGCGGTCTGTACGGACGCTGCCACCAGTCCTGTTCTGGCCACGTTCACCAGAGAGCCCCGCTCCGGTCTCTGCGTCCACTCAGGTCGCTCTGTCCCCTCAGATTGCTGTGTCCGGTCAGGTTGCTGTATCTAGTTGGGTTGCTGCGTCTGGTCATGTTGCTGTGTCTTGCTCCTGTCGGTCTCTCGCCCACCCAACCGTCTTGTGGCACCACCGTCTTGGCCACCCGTCGATCCCCCGCCTCCGCAGCATGGCTAGTCACCGTCTTGTCTCGGGTCTCCCTCGTGTCTTTGCATCGCTTCCTCCCTCGCCTGCACCGCCGTGCTCTCCTTGTGTCGCCGGCCACCTGTGCGTCACTCCGCACTCCTCCTCCCTTCGTCCGGCCACTGCTCCCTTCCAAACTCTCCACTTGGACATCTGGGGCCCTGCCTCTACACAGGGACCTAAGAGGGAGCGCTACTTTCTGGTGGTCGTCGAGGACTACTCCAGGTACACCACGGTGTTTCCTCTCGCGAAGAAGTCCAAGGTAACTTCTACGCTGATCCGGTGGCTTCTGGCCGCTGAGGGCACTCGTGGCAGTTGTGTCTCCTGTCTCCACTCCGACCGTGGGGGCGAGTTTCGCTCTGGCATTCTTCGTGGATTCTGCGGCGAACAGGGCATGTCACAGTTCTGGACGTTTTCTGAGTCCTCACAGCAGAATGGGGTTGCTAAGCGCCGCATTGGCTTGGTCATGGTCATCACCCGCACGTCCATGATCCATGCCCATGTGCCCCATTTTCTGTGGCCCTATGCGGTTTGCTACGTCGCCCACAAGCTGAACCTCCTGCCGCATGTCTCGAGGCGAGAGGCTTCACCGACTAGTCTTTGGACCGGGTCCCCTGGTGTTGGTTAAGCCTTTCTTGTCTAGTGCTGCCTTGCGCTTGTCCGCGACACCTCTGCGGACAAGCTCTCGGCTCGTGCCATCCCCTGTGTCTTCCTTGGTTTCCCGGTGGACTCTCCCGACCACGCCTTTTACCACCCACCCCTCCACCAGTTCCAAGACTCCCGTGACGTCCGGTTTGACGAGTCAGTGTCCTACTATGCTCGCTACCCCTATCGAGGTATCTCGGTTCCCCCTCCCCCCCTTTTCCTCGCACCCTCTCCTCCTCTTGCTCCCACTCCTCCAGTACCCCCGCACCCCCCCTGGTCCTGCCCCGTCAGTTGTGTCTCACGCTACCCCTCTACCCTCGGTCGCACGTCAGGTGGCACCTCCCTCCCCGCAGTCCTCCTCACAGTCCCCTCAGCAGCCTTCGGCACTTCCGCAATAGGTTACTGTGGACTCTAGGGGTGTTGGCGCTGGAGGTGCTGCCACTGGAAGTGCTCGGTTTGGGGGTGCTCATTCGCGGGGTGCTGGAGCTGGAGGTGCTGGCACAGGTGGTGCAAGTTCTGGGGGTGCTGGAGCTAGAGGTGCTGGAGCTGGAGGTGCTGGCACTGGAGGTGCTAGTTCTGGGGGTGCTGGAGTGGGAGGTGCTGGCACTGGAGGTGCTAGTTCACGGGGTGCTGGAGCTGGAGGCACTGATACTGGTGGTGCTACGTTTGGAGACACTGGCACTGGGGGTGCTAGTTCTGAGGAAACTGGAGTTGGAGACACTACTTCTGCGGTGCCCACTCAGCCTCCCCACCGCCACTACACACGTCTCTAGGCAGCCCGCCGGTGTGCGCGTGAGGAGCAGGAGCACTTGGAGAGGGAGAGGCAGGAGCTGCGGCAGTTGGACCTGCTGGAGCAGCAGGAGCAGCACCAGCAGCAACAACAGCAGCAGCAGCAGCAACCGCCGCATCAGCTCCCTCTGGAGCGGCAGTTGTTCCCGCCAGTGAGTGGCCTACGGGCCCTTGGTCTTCCCTCCTCTTCTCCTGTTCGCCCTCAGTCTCCTCCTGCCTTTGGTCCTACCTTTCCTCCTCCTGACGACTCTCCTGCTGTCTGGTCTTCTTCTCGGTCTCCGTCTCCTCCTCCTGTTGTCCCACACTCCCGTGTTTGTCCCTGTCCTCCGCATGCTCGGCCCTTGTCCCCCGTTGACGACCTCTGCATTGCCCTCCTCTGTTCTTCTCGTCGTCGTTCTCCACCTGTGTCCGTTCTCCAGTCTCCTCCTCCGTCATCTCTTCCTGTCTCACCTACCCCTATC